GGATGCCCACTCTTGCCACTATTGTTCAACATAGTACTAGAAGTCCTAGCAAGAGCAATCAGACAACAAAAAGAAATAAAAGTATTCAAATTGGCAAAGAAGAAATCAAACTTCGCAGATGACATGATACTTTATGTGGGAAACCCAAAAGACTCCACCCTCAAAATACTAGAACTAATATAGAAATTCAGTAATGTGGCAGGATACAAAATCAATGCACAGAAATCAACTGCTTTCTTATACACTAACAACGCAACTGTAAAGAGAAATTAGAGAAATGATTCCATTTACAATAGCACCAAAAACGATAAGATACCTCAGAATAAACCTAACCAAAGAGGTAAAGGATCTATACTCTAGGAACTACAAAACACTCATGAAAGAAATTGAAGAAGACACAAGAAGATGGAAAAACATTCCAATCTCATGGATTGGAAGAATAAACATTGTTAAAATGTCTATGCTACCCAGAGCAATCTATACCTTAAATGCCATCCCAATCAAAGTTCCAATGACATTTTCAAAGTGCTGGAACAAACAATCCTAAAATTTGTATGGAATCAGAAAAGACCCTGAATTGCCAAGGAAACGTTAAAAAAGAAAAACAAAGCCGGGGGCATCACGTTGCCTGATTTCAAGCTATATTACAAAGCAGTGATCACCAAGACAGCATGGTACTGGCACAAAAACAGACATATAGACCAATGGAACAGAACAGAGCCCAGATATGGACCCTCAACTCTATGGTCAAATAATCTTTGACAAAGCAGGAAAGAATGCCCAATGGAAAAAAGACAGTCTCTTCAATAAATGGTGTTGGGAAAATTGGACAGCTATATTCAGAAGAATGAAACTTGACCATTCTCTAACACCATACACAAAGATAAATTCAAAATGGATGAAAGACCTCAAGGTGAGACAGGAATCCATCAAAATCCTAGAGGAGAACATAGGCAGTAACCTCTTTGACATCGGCCACAGCAACTTCTTTCAAGATACATCTCCAAAGGCTAGTGAAAGAAAAGAAAAATGAACTTTTGGGATTTCATCAAGATAAAAAGCTTCTGCACAGCAAAGGAAACAGTTAACAAAACAGAGAGGCAACCCACAGAATGGGAGAAAATATTTGCAAATGACACTACAGATAAAGGGCTGGTATCCAAGATCTATAAAGAACTTCTCAAACTCAACACCCAAAAAACAAATAATCAAGTCAAAAAATGGGCAGAAGACATGAACAGACACGTCTCCAAAGACATACAAATGGCTAACAGACACATGAAAAAATGTTCATCATCATTAGCCATCAGGGAAATTCAAATCAAAACCACATTGAGATACCACCTTACACAGTTAGAATGGCAAAAATTGATAAGACAAGAAACAACAAATGTTGGAGAGGTTGTGGAGAAAGGGGAACCCTTACACTGTTGGTGGCAATGCAAGTTGGTACAGCCACTTTGGAAAACAGTGTGGAGGAGCCTCAAAAAATTAAAAATAGAGCTACCCTATGACCCAGCAATTGCACTACTGGGTATTTACCCCAAAGACACAGATGTAGTGAAAAGAAGAGCCATATGCACCCAATGTTCATTAGCAGCAATGTCTGCAATAGCCAAACTGTGGAAAGAGCCGAGATGCCCTTCAACAGACGAATGGATAAAGAAGATGTGGTCCATATATACAATGGAATATTACTCAGCCATCAGGAAGGATGAATACCCAACTTTTACATCAACATGGATGGGACTGGAGGAGATTATGCTAAGTGAAAGAAGTCAAGCAGAGAAAGTCAATTATCATATGGTTTCACTTATTTGTGGAACATAAAGAATAGCATGGAGGACATTAGGAGAAGGAAGGGAAAAATGAAAGGGGAGAAATTGGGGGGGGACATGAACCATGAGAGACTATGGACTCCGAGAAACAAACTGAGGGTTTAAGAGGGGAGAGGGGTGGGGGGATGGGTTAGCCTGATGATGGGTATTACGGAGGGCACGTACTGCATGGAGCACTGGGTGTTATACACAAACAATGAATCATGGAACACTACATCAAAAACTAATGATATATTGTATGGTGACTTACATAACATAGTAAAATAAAATAATATTAAAAAAATAGCCATTCGGCACATGTTCACATCTATTTTCTTTAAGGAAGGGGGAGATTTCAGCTGTCTTTATAGCGACTGATTTTTTAGTAAATGAAAAAATAAAATGTATGAATAAACTAATACAAATTACAAATACACAACTAAATATCACCTTCAACTTTTTTTCTAAACTATATCCCAGTGTATCTATGAGAAGTTTTATTTATTGTGGAAAACCTTACCATCTGTACCAATCAATAGACAGTGACAGCTCTGTCATGCTTTCAACAATAAAATTAGTAAGTCAGTGGTCCTATAAATATATCAACCAGGGGAAAGTGACTATTCAAAATAAAAGCTTGGCAAACATGAAGTAAAAGTTAAAATTTTCATAATCTAACACTAAAAATATATTTCATTTTCTCATAAATGCATATAATATCTTTCTAGGATAACATATTTTTCTCCCACCTTAACATATACACTGTAAAATATACATAGTCCATATGCAGTGAAAACTCTAAAATATTTAGTCACTTGTTAAACTAAGCTTACACAAATTAGGATAAAATGATATTGAAATAATGTATGAAGTAAGATTTAGTTGATTAAAGCAGTGAAAGTTTAAATGCCTATCATTCTTTGCTAGTTTTAGAAAAAGAGATCAGACAACCTGTGCAATGTACATCTCTCCTCCACTTCTAGAAAAACCTTTAAGAAAGTCCACATTGTCTACCATACATTAATTTTTGTGTGAGTGATCTTTTTTCATGGGGGAAGGGGATGTGAACTTAATAACCAAATCAATGTACTACAGGGTAGAGACAGCATTTGAGGATATGGGAGTTCCGGCGTAGAGAGGGGCATTAAAAGATTAAATTTTGGGGAAGTCTAGGCAAAAGAACTGTAGGTTGGGTTGCTACTATCTCCATCTCTCAGGGACAGGAAAATCTCAGCTATTCCTGGATAATACATATTTTGAAATTATTCTTTTTTAATCAATTTCTCATATGTAAAATTTTTGACCATTTTTCTATCTTGGCTGGCAGTATTGCTGAGTCAACCTTCTTCCTTTCTGTTTCTTGAGTAGATTGGGGCAATGAGGTGTCAATATGAATCTCCCCTTCCCTATAAGTGCAGATCCTTAGATAGGCAGAAGTAGGGAATCAGAGCACAGAGGGACAATCTGGCATGTGCCAGCTGAATTTGAGGTAGAAGGGTATTAACAGTTCATCCTTGAATGAAGAGACCCACAGAAAAAGGCACCCATATTAGATCACCTCCAAGGTAGCAAGTAAAGAAAAAAGACAGATAAAAAGAGTAAGGGACAAAGAAAGTGCCTGTAGGAAAGGTACCCTGAATGACAACAGAGGAGAGATCCTGCCCCAGAGCTTGTGAGCACCCAGAGGGTTATCCATCTAGAGCACCTGGTTAGCTGGGAGAGTAGGGGAAGAGAGAGGGGAAACAAGTATTTTTTTCTGTCCTCATCCTCCCATTAGGGAACTGCTTATTTTAAACAGCCCTGAATTGATGATCTTTGCAAGATTTTCTAAGTTTACTTTAATGCTTTCAGAAGGTTAAAAACTATGGCTTCAGATGCTTGAGTTTGGCTTTGTTTTGCATCAGATTTGGTCTGTGTCCTTGGGACTAACGGTATGCTCACTGGAATCACACTACTTAAATTAATCCTGAGAAAATTCAAATCCTGAGAGAAATATAGTTGAGACATTTTAAAAAGTCACTTCTAGTTTTTACTTATATTTAAATATAATTTCTTAAGAATGCCTTGCTCTTTATCCTATTGTCAGATCTCTAAGATTCTAAGGTCTGCTTCATGAGAAGCTAACAGGTTTCCCTGTCCTTTAGGAAAGAGGAGAAGGGCCACAGAAAGGAGAACAATTCTTCCTGTTTTCTGTGGTTGCCAGCAGAAGTGCCTAGGAACACATCCAAAATATCAGAGCAGAGAAGGTGCCTCACATTAAGAAGACTGGCTCACAACTACCATGAAATGAATGTATATATTTTATTCTATACTTAAATATTTTTATTAAAATGGCTTTCCCTTCAGTTGCTTTCAAGTTGAATAGAAAAACATACTGCTTATGCCAAAGATATAGCAAAAGTCCATTTTAAAGTACCTCAAATTTACACAGATTTACTTATACTGTGGATTAAACAGTGTGCCTTAAATGTACATACACTTACATGTGTATTTGAACATATCTACTTTCCACTATAAAATAGAAACCATCCAGTCAAAGGAATCCACATTTGATACCTATTTTTAAATCAGATTTCTAATGAAAGCATGGTTTGCTGATGAAAAGTTTCAATATTAGAATACAGACACAGATAATTGAATTGATTTATAATGACTAAACCAAACCATGGAAATAAGTCCAGTTCACCTATTCTCATTAACCTGAGAGTCCAGTCTATTTATTAGTTGTAATGTGTGATTTAAAGTTTAAAAAGAGTAAAAAAGATACTGAAGGAGTTAGTATAATGAAATATTCTCTTTGAAATTTGAAAATCTGGTTGCATTCCATAATTAATTTTCCCTGTGAGCTAGGCCTACAACTTAAAGTCTTCTCAAGGGAGTTTTTAAAAACTACCAAATGATAATCTTAAAATTGTTTCAAAAGGCAATTATATAAAGTCCTCAGTTGATTTATACTATATCACCATTAGGAAAATAAAATTTAAAACTACCCTACTTTCTACACTTCCTTTGAAAAAACTTGTTTAAAAATACAAATATTCAATTTTAAACAAATAGTACATACTGTTTCATTTATATAAATATAAAAGTAAATAATTATATATCTTTTAGATTCTGAAACAAAAATGGCCATAACTAAAAACAAGTGCAAGAAGAATAAAGGTTTGATGTTACTGTACCTACCTTTAATGTGATACTATAATGTCCAACAAATGTTGCATTTATCCATGATCTTGAATGGGGATCACCCAGGAATTCTATGTGATATTGTTCAACATTTCCATCCAGGTCATAGATCACGTATTTCCCTTTAAAAGGATCTGGGCAAAGTATCCCTGGCCAACTTTCAAAAGAAAGTATTTTTAATTATTTTGATGCTTTAAAAAAGGCAGAAATCAATACATCTGTCATAATCATATACCAAACTTTCTCCTTTGAATTTTAATAACTCAAAAAACTTAAACATATTCATACTTGTATCCTTTAAAAGTAGGATATTCATTTGATACAAGTAATCATTTGTATCTTTGTAAATACAGAAAGCTTTGGAAAAGTCACATATTTAAGATAAACATAAAATATGAGGAGAAAGAATTATAAGACAAAAGAATGATCTCTAGGATCTGCAAGAGGTATTTAGACACTGCTAATAGGAAAGATAAGATTCATGGCAGGTTTGAATCAACCCTAACCAATAAGAATGCTTGTTACTAAAATGTTAATCCACTGAGCTTCTGATGGGGTACGAGAGAGCTGGCATTTCCTGAGCTAGGGCTGCCAAAGGGGTAGTTTGGTAGCACATGCTGTGATAACACTGGAGAGTCTAACTACTGAGGAACAAGCCAAAATAGAGCTCGACAGTTCTATATTGCCCCTCCCCCCCATCTGCTCCACTGGAAGGAGACCAAATTTCTAAAAATTTTTAGTATGGGAAATAAAATTTATCCTTTACTAAAAATAAATCTTTAGGAGTATGTCCTTTTGTGCCACAAACCTCTAGAAATTATAGAAATATGTTTCATTTTTCTTTTTGACAAAAACAAAATATATATACATCAACTAAGTTTTAACTATTTTACTTTCTAGACTCTGACCTACTGTTTGGAGCCTAAAGCAGGAAAGGAAGGCAGCAAATAAAGTCAGGAAGCTGTGACTAAGGGATGCCAAGTTCTACCTCAGTTCCCTTGTGAAAAAAGATAGTGAGGTTCAAATCAGGAGATCCAGGCTCCGACTCTGCCTTCTACCAGACAAGAGGCCTCAAGCAGATAATGAGACCTTGCTGTGACTCCAGTTCCTCAATATGCTGTTACAAAATTCACACAAACATGTGCTTTATACATTTTTGGTTTTTGGCAAATTAAAATATTATAAAGTGCCATCATTATGAACCAAATTGTGTTCCCCTCACCAAATTCATATGTTAAAGTTCTTATAACTCCAGTACCTCAGAATGTGACTGTATTTGGAGACAGTGTCTTTATGGAAGTGACTAAGTTAAAAGGTGGGTCCTAATCTAGCATGACTGGTTTCCTTTTAAAAAGAGAAGATTAGGGATTGCATTGAATGCATAGATTGCTCTAGATAGCATAGACATTTTAATAATATTTGTTCTTCCAACCCATGAGCATGGAATGTTTTTCCATTTCTTTGCATCTTCTTCAATTTCTTTCATGAATTTTCTGAGTACCCTATCAAAATACCATCAACTTTTTTTCACAGAGCTGGAACAACTAACCCTAAAATTTCTATGGAACCAGAAACAACCCCTAATTGCCAAAGGAATGTTGAAAAGAAAACCAAAGCTGGTGGCATCACAATTCCAGTCTTTAAGCTCCATTACAAAGCTGTAATCATCAAGACAGTAAGGTACTGGCAAAAAATAGACACAAATATCAATGGAACAGAAGAGACAACCCAGAAATGGACCCTCAACTCTATGGGCAACTAATCTTCAACAAAGAAAGAAAGAATATCCAATGGAAAAAGGACAGTCTCTTTAACAAATGGTGTTGTGAAAATTGGACAGCCACATGCAAAAGAATGAAACTGGACCATTTCCTACACCCTACACAAAAATAGACTCAAAATGGATGAAAGGCCTAAATGTGAGACAGGAATCCATCAAAATCCTAGAGGGGAACACAGGCAGCAACCTCTGTGACTTCGACCATAGCAACTTCTTGCTAGACACATCTCCAAAGGCAAGGGAAACAAAGGCAAAAATGAACTATTGGGACTTCATCAAGATAAAAAGCTTTTGCACAGCAAAGGAAACAGTCAACAAAACCAAGACAAACCAAGAATGGGAGAAGATATTTGCAAATGTCATATCAGATAAAGGGCTAGTATCCAAAATCTATAAAGAACTTATCAAACTCAACACCCCCCAAAACAAACAATCCAATCAAGAAATGGGCAGAAGACATGAACAGACATTTCTGAAAAGACATCCAAATGGCCAACAGACACATGAAAAAGTGCTCAACATCACTCGGCATCAGGGAAATCCAAATCAAAACCACAATGAGATACCACCTCACACCAGTCAGAATGGCTAAAATTAACAAGTCAGGAAACGATAGATGTTGGCGGGGATGCAGAGAAAGGGGAACCCTCCTATACTGTTGGTGGGAAGGCAAGCCGGTGTAGTCACTCTGGAAAACAGTATGGATATTCCTCGAAAAAGTTGAAAGTAGAGCTACCCTATGACCCAGCAATTGCACTACTGGGTATTTACCTTAAAGATACAAATGTAGTGATCCGAAGGGGCACAACACCCCAATGTTTATAGCAGCAATGTCCACAATAGCCAAACCATGGAAAGAGTCCAGATGTCCATTGAAAGATGAATGGATAAAGAAGATGTGATGTATATATATACAATGGAATGCTACTCAGCCATCCAAAAAAATGAAATCTTGCCATTTGCAATGATGTGGATGGAACTAGAAGGTATCATGTTAAGCGAAATAAGTCAATCAGAGAAAGACAATTATCATATGATCTCACTCATATGTGGAATGTAAGGAACAAAAGAGAGGATCATAGGGGAAGAGAGGAAAAAATAAAACAAGATGAAATCAGAGAGGGAGACAAACCATAAGAGACTCTTAATCATAGGAAACAAACTGAGGGTTGCTGGAGGGGACGAGGGTGGGGCAATGGAGTAACTGGGTGATGGACATTACGGAGGGTATGTGATGTAATAAACACTGGGTATTATATAAGACTGATGAATCACTTACCTCTACTTCTGAAACAATAAGACATTATATGTAAATTAACTGAATTTAAATTAAATAAAAAATAAATAAAAAGAGAAGATTAGGACACAGACATGCACAGAAGGAAGACCATGTGAAGACACAAGGAGAGAGATGCATCTACAGGTCAAGGAGAAAGCCTCAGAAGAAATCAACCTGCTGACAATCTAACCTGAGACTTCTAGCCTCAGAATTGTAAGAAATTAAATTTCTGTTATTTTTAAGCTACCCAGTCTGTGACACTTTGTTATGGCAGCCCTAGCAAACTAATCATATAAAGGTATACAATTATATATAGATACAATAATTGGTATAATTGAGAGGTAGAAAGAATGATACAAAAACATTTTTTGCCTCATTTAATTATTTAGAAACTAGATAAATTAGATATTTAGATAATTTTAAAACCTAAAGGAGGCATACAGATCATGCTATAAGAATCTGAAATTACAAAAATGCAAAATCCATAAATTACTTGGGCTCGAGGACTATAGATGGTTGAACTATTAAATTATCAATTGATATGAAAGTTACAAAGTCATAAATATAGAAATACATCTACCATACCATTGTAAAAAAGTTTTTACAGATTATAAATAACACAATGTAAACTAACAAAAGTATTTCATTATTATTAATGCTTAGTATTATTAATGCAAAAAGTTTGATTCCAGGAAATTGACAAATCCCAAGTGTAGTTGCCAGGAGGTGGTGAGTTGGGTGCACCAGTCACCAGGGAAGGTGGAGTGTGAGAATGGAGCAGACGTCTAGCTGCTTCCTAGATGCTGAGCAGAGTTCTTTGGCTCTTGGACTCTCTGAGTTAGGAAAAGGGTAGGTGGAAGGTCTGCCTAGCAGCCTTAGATCATGGAAGAGGAAGGGCTAGAGGATTACAAATTGAGTCAGACTATGTGGAACCCAAAGCAGCCTAATACTTTGGAAAATTGGAAATGATAATGGAAAGTCAAGTAGAGGTTCAGGACCTAAATGAAGATGACTATCTTGTTACTGTCAGGTTCACATCACAGTATCGTTGCTATTTGGCAACCCTTATTGGGCTTAAGAGTGCTTAAGAGAAAACTTGAGTGGAGTTTATCTTTTAAACCTACATTGGAAATCTACATTTCTGAAGGAACTCACTCAAAAGAAGAAGATTTCAATAGGCAAATAAATGACTAAAAATGAATGGTAGCTGTATTGGAGACTCGTAATTTATCAGAAATTAAGAAACAGTGGGTCCTCCAATGGATTAGGAACTATTTAAAAAGAAATCAAACTGTGATTGTTACATTACATTTGTTGACTATCCTTTGTAAAACACAAGGGGCTCATGTTTAATACTAGGTGATTTGCACCTCACAAAAATTTTTATACCAAATTATAAGTAGCACCAATTTCATTCAGTGTAAAACAATCACAGGATTTCTAACACTTGAGATATGAAAGAAAAATATCTTGCAGTTATTATGTTTAAGATAAGCTTTTCTGACACAAATTCTGATACAACTTCTTTTACACAAAACCTACTGGGCCCGAGAGTATTCGATTTATTTTTTATTTTTTATTTTTATTTTTTCTTAATAATACAGTATTTATTTGTCTTCCCCCTGTCAAACCCTGAGCCAACGACTTTCCCCAGGCTGCCTGGGGAGGTATAGGAAAAGGAACATACAGGGCGGACAAGACACGGGAGAAAGACCTATGGGAGGTGGAGACGGCTCCTTCCCATGGCGAAGAGGATGAGAAAGGCCACCATCAGGCAAAAGAGCCCTATTTCCTCCAAGAGGGCAAAGCCCAAAATGGCATAGGAGAAGAGCTGCTGCTTCAGAGAGGGATTCCTGGCATAACCAATGATGAGGCTCCCAAACACAGTCCCAATTCCAGCCCCAGAGCCAGCCACCCCTACCATGGCAGCCCCAGCTGCAATGAACTTGGCTGCTGTGTCGATGTCCCTTGAAATGAGACGCTGGTTTGGAAGCTGCAGCTAGGAATAAGTGAGGTCAGGGGACGTGGGGCTGCCAAGCTGCTGAGGGTCTTGTAAGGTACCTCATCTGTCAGTGTCTCCGGTGGTTTAACACCACTG